TTTATTTGTCCTAATTTTAATTTATCCAAATTTTTATTTGTCCGAATTTTTATTTGTCTGAATTTTTATTTGTCCGAATTTTAATTTATCTAAATTTTTATTTGTACAAATTTTTATGTGTTCGAATTTTAAATTATGCAAATTTTAATTTGTCCGAATTTTAATTTATCCAAATTTTTATTTGTCCGAATTTTAATTTATCTAAATTTTTATATGTACAAATTTTTATTTTTCCGTATTTTAATTTATCCAAATTTTTATTACAAATTTTTATTTGTCCGAATTTTTATTTGTCTGAATTTTTATTTGTTCGAATTTTAATTTATCCAAATTTTTATTTGTACAAATTTTTATTTGTCCGTATTTTAATTTATCCAAATTTTTATTTGTACAAATTTTTATGTGTTCGAATTTTAAATTATCCAAATTTTAATTTGTCCGAATTTTAATTTATCCAAATTTTTATTTGTCCGAATTTTAATTTATCTAAATTTTTATATGTACAAATTTTTATTTTTCCGTATTTTAATTTATCCAAATTTTTATTACAAATTTTTATTTCTCCGAATTTTTATTTGTCTGAATTTTTATTTGTCCGAATTTTAATTTATCCAAATTTTTATTTGTACAAATTTTTATTTGTCCGAATTTTAATTTATCCAAATTTTTATTACATATTTTTATTTGTCCGAATTTTAATTTATTCAAATTTTTATTTGTCCGAATTTTAATTTATCCAAATTTTTATTACATATTTTTATTTGTCCGAATTTTAATTTATTCAAATTTTTATTTGTCCGAATTTTAATTTATCCAAATTTTTATTTGTCCGAATTTTTATATTTACGCATTTTTAATTGATAGAATTTTTCAGACGCCGAATTTTCATTTGTCCTAAATCACAAATGACCGAACAATCGACAGAAAGATTTCGGCGCAATTTTTCAAAATTAACCTATTACTTTTGCATAAAAAGTCATGTAAAGAGAATATAAAATTCTGTCAAACAAAAAATCGGTATCTTAAAATTTTATTATGTAAAAATTCGTGAAAAATTTAAAATCAGCTTCAAATTTTAAATTGAAAATAGATCCAAAAAAGATATTTTTTTATTATTCGAAAAGAAAGAAAAGTTTTTTTTTTAAATGAAAATTAAATTTAACAATGCGAAAATGTTAAGATATAAAAATTGAAAGACGTGAAGAATTCCTGCTTCCTGGCAAGAAGCTCTATTCACAATTTTTCGCACATTTTTTTTTTACTTACAAGATTCTTTATAAATTTCTATACATGAAGCGATATCCCTGAGGCTAAGCGAGCCTTTCAACGCGCAATTTCCGAACTCGCGATATAGAGTGAGCACTTTGTGAGAAAAGCAGAGCTGTTCTCAACTCTCACCCGGAAATTTACTATTCTAGACACTTTTAGCTCTATATTTCATATTGTCATTTGGACAGTGTTATGGGCTTTGTTATTTTTTTCCTTTTTTTTTTAAACAAATGATTTTACATATTATCTTTTTAATATTTTCTGTATATGGTTCGGATAAATATTTTTATTTAAGTAAAAAATTAAATTGTTTACCATAAAGGACTTATTTAATCAGACAATAATTTCCTTTAAATTTGCAAAATTTAATTTAGTGGAAAAGTTCAGTTATAGTCAGACATAATTTTTCTATTAGTGGTAAAAGAGATTTTTATCAAGGCACGATTTTTTTTTCTCTGCGAATGTAAGTTTAAGACAGAATTTTTTGTCACTAATTGTGATATTAGTAGAAAATTCCTTTATGGTCAGACAGAAGTTCGGAATGAATTTTTAATTCCACTTTCAGTAGTAAAAATAAGTTCAGGTCAAACAGAACTTGTCTAGACTTTAGTAATTTTATGTAAGTAGTAATCTTTCTTTATGGTCAGACAGGATTTTACAAAAACTTCCAAGTCCTCAAGCAGTAGTAAAAGTAAGTTTTAGTCAGACATAACTTTTTCGAATTTTAGTAATTTCCTGTAAGTAGTAAAAACCATTTATAGCCAGACAAAATGTTCAGCATTATTTTAATTTTGGAATTAGTAGTAAAAGTCAATTTTAGTCAGACATAACTTCTATAAGAATTTTTATATTTCTTTTCTGTAAGTAGTAAAAGTGAGTAAAAATCGGACAGGACTTTTCCAAGTATGATATTAGTAGTAAAATCCCTTTTTGGTCAGCCAGAATTTCTCTAAAAGTCCAATTCCTCAATCAGTAGTAAAAGTGGGTTTTAGTCAGACAACTTTTTCGTATTTCAGTAATTTTTATACAAGTAGTAAATGTCACTTTTAGTCGGCCAGAATTTATAAGAATTTTACTATTTTCGTTCAATTAGACTAAATTTCTCTTATTTTATTATAAGTAGTAAAAGTCAGAGTCAGACAATTTTCTTCAATTTTTGTATTTTTGTAATTTTTTGTAATTAGTGGTAAAAGTCAATTTTTGCCAGACGGAATTATAATATTTTTTCTCCGCTAGTAGTAAAAGTAATTTTTAGTCAGACATATTTTTTTCGAACTATTTTAATTTAAGAATTAGTAGTACAAGTCAATTTTAGTCAGACAGAACTTATAGAAATTATATATTTTCTTTACAAGTAGTAAAAGTAATTTCTAATCAGACATAAAATTTTCTAATTCCTGTAATTTATATATAAATAGTAAAAGTCAGTTGTAGTCAGACAAAACTTTGCTAAATCATTGTAATTTGAAAAAATTATTACTAAAAATCAATTTTAACATAAAACGTCGAAGAATTTTTATATTTTTAGTAGTAAAAGTTAGTTTCAGCCAGACAATACTTTTCCCTTAATTCTTTTATGAGTAGTAAAAGTCAGTTATAGTCAGACAATTTTTTTTTAAATATCACAATTCGAAAAACAGTAGTAAAAGTCACTTTCACTCAGACAGAATATTAAAAATTCAATTTTACGATATAATTAATTTCTCGAAAGTATATAAAAAGGTTGCAATTAATTTTTTTTTATTTAATATCTTTCATGTAGTAATTTATAAAAAGAAAATTATTGTAATTAATTTTGAATCATTACCGAGAGTAACAAATTATAATTTTTTCTCTCAAAAGAAATTCATCATTTTTTTTTTTTTTTTTAATATGTAATTTTAAATTATATTTCTAATATTTATATATTGTATTTATTATTAAGGTGGAAGAAAATAAATTGTTTGATATGTGATATGAATTATGTGGTTCACCATGTGTATAGAACCCCTGAAGGTGGTAGCATGCGATCGCAATTTCAGGAATCTCACCTGGTATGGAGAACATTGTCTATCTATAAACTTACACACTTATTCCTATATATATATGTTTGTGTATAGGTATATATTATATATAAACTCACCTCAATGGAATCTCAGAATCTATATTTTACAAACAAGCGTTCACGAATCCCTTGCGTGATTCGCGATCACATCACCTCGTAATCATCTAGTTTCCTTCAAATTATCTTGAATTATTATTTTCCTTACTTATTGTTACGTAATCTTATTTATACCTCCGTGTTTAAAAAAAAATAGTTTCTCTACTACCTTTTCAAGTAATAATAAAAAATTAATATTTTTTAATTTAATTTAAAAAAAATAATTTTCTTCTACATTTAAATATTAGTAAAAAGTACATTTGAAGGTAAGAGAAAATTTTTATCACAAAAAATACTTTTTAATTTTGAAATATTAAAATTAATTGAATTAAACAAAAAATTTAATTTAATTTTCCTCTCTATATTATTTTACTTATTCTGGGAAATCAATCTTCTTTTCTCATCCTTAAAAAAAGAAAAATCTCCATGTTTACCTGTTTTCAAGCTCAAGAAATCACTACTAATAATATTCGATAGAAGAAATTTTTTTTCTTATATATATTTTTCTTCTTTTTATTTTTTATTTTCCTATATACGAACTCAGTACAAAATGAAAACACAATCGAAGTCTAATATTGAAACTGGAAAGAGAGTTTTTGAAGAATAGAAGAGAAGCCAAGGATAAACTAATACTTTGACCTCTCTCTCTCTCACTCTTTTTCTTTCTTATCTCAGATACTCAGTTTTTCCCTATATTTTTCTTTCTTAATATTCTTTTTCCTACTGGTGAAAAGAAGAATCATGAGAAAAACATTTTATAGTTTTAGTCGTAAATGTGAATTGAAGCGATTTAGACGCATATATCCATTGAAGTAAAATGTCCATTTATCCACAAACGAAATTTTCGCACCACTGATCACGTTTGACCTCACTCTATTCAGTCAAAGCAGATTAAATACTCAATGTTCGCATTTTCTATTGTTATTTGTTAATATATATATATATATATAACAATATCGAGTGCCTCGCAAAATCAAATTTACTTCTTTTTTTTTTTGAAAGTAATAATAAATATTTATTTGAAATTTATTTAGAATATTTAAATATTTATTTTAGATTTTAAAAAAGAAAAAAATCGCTCAACGAAAAAAAATAAATAAAAGAAAAAAGATAATTTTTTTTTATTACCAAAATAGATAAAAAATTAATTAACAAAAATATTTTCACTTTAATTTTTAATTAGTTAAAATAAAAAAGAATTTTATTTATTCAATAAATCGGTTACTATTATCAAATAAATATTTATTTGAATGAAATAAACTGCGTTTAAACTAATTTTTGTATTTGAAACAAATACCATTTAATTGGCAGAAATAATAATTATTTAAGAAATAAACAATTATTTGATAATTAAGAAGCGGAATATTTGTTTGTATAATCGAAGGAGAGAAATTTGTAATAACTGTGTATTGGATATACAATGAAATAAATAATAATAATAATAATAATAATAATAATAATTATTATTATTATTATTATTATTATTATTTATTATATTATGAAATAATATATTTCTTGTGAGGATACAAAAAAAATTTTTTAGGTAAAAAAAATGTAAAACAGGTTTTTTTTTAAATAAATACAAAAACACTTAAAAATGTGAAAGAATCTATTAATTATTTAATTACAGTATAGTAAAACGATTAAAACATACATTATGTACAATATGAGTTTAAAATTTCACTTACATACTAAAATTGAAGATAATTTTCACTGAACAAAGTCAGAAAATAGTATTTATTTTTTTTAAAAGGTGTTATTATTGTTATTATTATTATTTTTTTTATTAATCATAGTTCATGTTTTTTAGCAGTCAGAAAATATTAATTTTTTTTACAAATTTATAATAACAAATGATAAAATTTTTCCTTTCTTTTTAAATAAAATTTCTTTTAAATATCTATAAAAATTTAATTGTTATTAAATTATAATTTAAATAAAATTTGATTTAAATTTCTATAGAATAAAATTATTAATTTTCTGTACCAATTAAATTGTTGTTAAATTAAACTTTAAATTCTTATTAAATTATTATTTAAATATTATCTTTCTTTAAAAACCAATGCTAAATTAAATATTAAAATAATAATTTCTATTAATTTATTAATATATTTAACAAAATATATTAATAGAAATTATTATTGTTTGAATATAGTAAATTTAAATTTTCTAAAATTAAATTGAATTGTTTAAATATCCGTTAATTAAAATTATAATTTTATTTTCATTGAAGAAACTACTAATTGAAAGTACCAATAAATAAATTTTTTTCTTAGTGATGAAAATGATCAATCATCATCATTTATTCAATCGCAATTGTCAGTTTAATAAACACTGGTATTAATTAATAAAAGTTGAAAAAAATAACTATTATATAACTTTGATCAATGACAGTATTTAATTAATTATCAGTAGCTTCAATTAATGGTACTTAAAAATAATAGGCAGTTTCCTACACTTGTAGTTAGATATGTGTTTTCAAGTAATATTTCAATTAATAGTTAATTGGCAACAACTGATAAATACAATTTTAAAATGCCAATAAATTAAAACTAATAATTTATTTAATAATAAAATTCTTTAATAAATTATTTACAACTACTTCTTCTTCTACACCTAAGTCCCTTTTGACTCAATATCTCTTGAATTTCATTTAAAGTTCGTTTTTTTGTTTCAGGTATAAAGGCAAAGACAAAGAAAAATGCAAGAAAACAAGAGATGGCAAAAAATGCAAACATCACATGTTCACCGTATGCTTCGCTTATTGGTGAATATAATTTAACAACAGTGAATGTGAGTATTCCATCGAGAATAGTGAGTGATGCGGCAGCAATACCTTTAACATTACCAGGAAAAAGTTCTCCAATCAATGCATTTGGCAATGTACCCAAACCAAGTTGAAATGCAATTTGAAAAAATACCATATCAATAATGGGAATTAAATTCACTGCCGATATATCAACATGCGTACTATCTATATAGAGATAAATGGCAAAAATTCCCAACGTTATTGTACAACCAATTGTTGAAAACATAAGCAATGGTCTTCTTCCATAACTATCAACAGTTAATGTTGCACCAGTTCCTGCTACTAAACCCGATGCAATAATAATAATAGTCGACACATGTGGTTCCAATCCAATATTATTTGTTTTCTCAAGAAGATTTTGAATATATTGCATCATACTAAAATTACCACTCAATTGTTGTGTCAACAATAATCCACTTACAATTAATAAGGCCTTACGATTATTAATTTGCATCAATAATTGTTGAAATCGTTCCTTCCAATTGCCCGACGATTCACTGTGTTGATTAATTGTTTCCAAAATGATGTCAAGTTCTTTGCGTACCTCCTCACGATCATCGATTCCCTTGAAGAATGATAGTACATTCATGGCTTCCTCATGAAATCCATTAGCTGCCAAATAATAAGGACTCTCGGGAAAGCAGAGAAAGACAATGACAAATATTAATGGAATTAAAAGTGCCACTGTTCCTAATACTTGATACGAGACCCATGGACCAATTGACACCATCAATAATGATCCAGTGAAGACATTAACTGCTATTAATGTTCCCAATGCTCCGCGAATTTTTACATCGGCCACTTCTGAGACGTACATTGGATTTGTCGAATAGGATATACCAACACCTACACCTAATATTATTCTTGCAAAATAGAGTGATTCAACACGCCAGGCGAAAATTGTCAATGTCCAACCGGAAATGTAGAATATACTTGAGAGCAAGAGACATCGCTTTCGACCAAACCTGCCAAAGTTAGTGAATTTTTTTTTTTTTTAATTATAAATTATTGTTTCTGTTCAACGACTGTATTTGAGGAGCAAGTTTTCAAAACCTGATAAATCCATATTTTTTTATTTCGAGAAATTTAAACAAATGACTTTCCACACATAACCACTAGAATTAATTTTAAAATAAAAAATTTATAATAATTTATTTCTATAACAATGTTTTTATATTCAATACGTTATGTTTCTAATTGAACTTTGTCATAATTGAGTGATTTACAGGTTTTGGTAATTTTTTCTAATATAAAACATACAAATTGTAAATCATCTTGGTTATGTCAATAAGTTTTTAAATTCAAAATTTGTAATTAATAAATTTTTTTCCTTAAATTTAACAGTGACAGATCGATTTGTGAGGTCCTTAAAATATTAAATTTATGGTTGTCTCCATTTTTTTGAAAAATGGATTTATCAAGTTTTGAAAATTTGCTCCTCATTTATTTATTGTGTGAATTTGGAACACATGAATAAATTCTAAAAATCAGTTAGAATTTTCATCTTATAGAATTCACATTTGATAGAATTTTTTCAGCCAAACATTTTATTTATTACTAGCAAAATTAAACGTGCGCAAGCGCGCCAAATTGAGTATTTAATTGTTTGTTATAAAAAAATTAAAGATTAATATTATCAATAATAATTTAATTTATTAGAATATTAAATTATAATAATAAAAATTATATGTTTACAGGCCTCGGATTATACGACTTTTTCCGATTTTTTTTCAAAAATACGACTTTTATCGACTTATTTTAATAAAATGGAACATTTTTTTTTTACATTTGAAAAAAAATGTAAATAAAATACATTTTTTTTTAGTATAAAATGTAAATCTTCTTCAATTCAATTATTTAACAAATTTTGAACTAAAATGATTCTTCACTAAATTAATTATTTTTAATAATTTTAATGAAATACATCACAAATTCAATTATATCAAAATTATTTTTCAATTCAAATTTTTATGAAATTTAACAATTGTTTATAATTTTAAAAAAATATATCACAATAAAATTGAATTATTTTTTAAAAATTTCAATTCAAAATAAACTAAAAATCAATTATTACCCGAAATTTTAATTCAAAATCAATTAAAAATCTAATAATTATACAAAATTTTCAATTTAAAATTTAATTATTTACCAAGTTTTCAATTTAGAATGCAATAAAATTCAATTATTTTCTAAAATTTCTATTCAAAATTAATTATCCAAATTTTCAATCAAAAATGAACTTAAATTAAATTATTATCCAAAATCTCAATTGAAATTCAATTATTTTCTAAAATTCCAATTCAAAATCAACTAAAATTCAATTCTATTCAAAAATTTAAATTCTAAATTAATTAAAATTCAATTATTTTCAAAAATTTCAATTCAAAATCAACTAAAATTCAATTATTTTCCAAATTTAAATTCAAAATCAACTAAAAGTTAACTAAAATACAATTATTTTTCAAAATTTTTATTGAAATTCAAATATTTTCAAAATTTTCCAAAATTTCAATTCAAAATAAACTAAAGTTCTATTATTTTCAAAAATTTAAATTCAAAATCAACTAAAATTCAATTCTATTAAAAAATTTAAATTCTAAATTAATTAAAATTCAATTATTTTCAAAAATTACAATTCAAAATCAACTAAAAGTTAACTAAAATACAATTATTTTTCTAAATTTTTATTGTAATTCAAATATTTTCAAAATTTTGCAAAATTTCAATTCAAAATAAACTAAAGTTTTATTATTTTCAAAAATTTCAATTCAAAATAAACTAAAATTCAATTATTACACGAAATTTTAATTCAAAATCAATTAAAAATCTAATAATTATCAAAAATTTTCAATTTAAAATTTAATTGTTTACCAAGTTTTTAATTTAAAATGAAATAAAATTCAATTATTTTCTAAAATTTCAATTCAAAATAAACTAAAATTCAATTATTACACGAAATTTTAATTCAAAATCAATTAAAAATCTAATAATTATCAAAAATTTTCAATTTAAAATTTAATTGTTTACCAAGTTTTTAATTTAAAATGAAATAAAATTCAATTATTTTCTAAAATTTCTATTCAAAACTAATTATCCAAATTTTCAATAAAAAATAAACTTAAATTAAATTATTATCCAAAATTTCAAGTAAAATTCAATTATTTCCCAAAATTTTCAATTCAATATGAACTGAAATTCAATTATTTTCCAAATTTAAAATCAAAATTAAATTTCATTATACTCAAAAATTTGAATTCAAAATTAATTCAATTTTCAATAATTTGAACTTAAAAGCATCTAAAATTTAATTATTTCTAAAATTTTCCATCGAAATTTTTTTTTTTTGAAATTTAATAATTTCAATTATAACTCTAAGGAAATTCAATTATTTTTAACTACAATGTATAGAAAATAAATTTATTGAAAATTCTGACTAATGAAAATTCGAACAAATTAAAAATTCTGTGAAGTGAATTTTCGGCTTTATAAAAATTCTATAATACAGAAAATCGGTTTAATGAAAATTTTACATAATAATATAATTCGAATAAATAAAATTCAGCTCAATGAAAATTATTATTTTCATTTCTTAAATTGCGAATAAAATTCTATTAAATGAAAATTCTAACAATTGATTTTTACAATTATATGGAAATTCCATCAAATAATAATTCGAACAAATAAAAATTATGTTATGCAGAAAATCGGTTTAATAAAATTTTTTGCAAAATAATAATTCGAACAAATAAAAATTCGGCTGAATAAAAATTCTACCGGATGAAATTCTATAAAATAAAAATTGATTTTATAGAACTTATTCATACAATTTTTCCTTTTTTTGGAGAAGAATTATATTAATTCAAAAATGACGCATTTTCGATACGAAAATTTTTAGTATTTTTTTTTTGTAATTTCTATATTTGTATATAAAAGGAGGGTAATTTTATTTTTACCTGTCCGATAACCACGCTCCCAAAAAGGATCCGAACATAGATCCTATCACAGTTAGGGAGGAAATCCATGATCCTTGATCGGAAGTGGTTTTTACTGGGACATCTTTCCCATTTTCCAGACGAGATATTGTCGTCGTGACCCATCCGTAAACTGTTCCCACAGATACCATCGATAAGGTCGCTGGAAAATGAATTAGAATTATTTATATACGAACAAAGAAATGATGGAAAAAATCGCAAAAAAAAACTCTAAATTCTATTTATAAATTAGTTTAATTTATATTTAAATTTAATTCAAAATTAATTTACTAATAAATTAATTAATTTTAATAATATAAATTAATTTATTAATAAATTAATTAAATAATTTAAATTAAAAATTATGGAACAATAAGTATTAGATATTTTTTTAAAAATTTGTTTTGGTATATATCTTTATTAAATTAATATCAATGAAAGTATTGCGAGTTTTTATAATTTTGTCATGAGATGTAATTAGTAACAGACAATTTTAAGAAATTTTTGACAAAACATTTTTCATCAAGTCAAATTGATTTTTAAAAGGGTTTATTGTTTTTCAAAGAAACCTTTTTAAAAAACAATTATCTTTGAAAACAAAGTTTCGTATAATTTTTTATATTACATCATTAATGAGGAGAAATTGATTTTATCGCTTTTGTTTTAATTGACATTTATTTAATAGTGACATTAGGATCCAAATAAATTTTAAAGAAACATCTTCTACCTAATATATTGTATACGACTTTTAAGAATTTATTTCTTACTAATTAATTTACAATTAAATAATATTTCACTGTTTCATATAATTATTTAATAATTTTTTGTAATTTTAACAATATTTTTTTTGGGGGGGGAAAAAGAAAAAAAATTCCAATCTTACTAATTAATTTACAATTAAATAATATTTCACTATTTCATATAATTACTTAATAATTTTTTGTAATTTTAACAGTATTTTTTTGGGGGAAAAAAGAAAAAAAATTTTTATAGATTAATCACCTGAAATGCAGGCTAGCCATTGTTTCCATTGAGTTCTTGAACTTTTCTTATGTAAACCATCAGCCAATCCTGGCTCTTTGAGCGTTTCTTCCGATGTTTTAATCTTCAAATTTATTAAATTTAAAATTATTAATTAATTAATTAAAGTTGAATAATAAGTTGTTTTTTTTTGCTTAGAAAGTAATTTTAGATAAATTTCCATAAAGAAAACCAAATAAAAAAAAATTATTTAAACAAATTCTTTTTAAAAAATTTTAAAAAAAACCTTTGTTATTTCTTATTGTTTATTTTTTTCGAAACAATTTAGTTAATTGTTGTAAAAACAATGTAGGAAAATAAAAACAATAGTTTTTTTTAAACTATAAATGGGAAATTTAAAATTTTTGATAACTGACATTTTATCGATCACTAATATTGATTTTGATATTGCACACGCGTTCTAAACAATTGACTTAACCTTATATGAAACACTCATATTCATTTTCATTCAAGAACGTAAATTTCAAATGAAAAATCGTTTTAATAAATTATTTCATTTAAAAAAAAAAAAAAAAATTCTTACCAGTTCAACAAAACTTGCCATTCTTTTATTTTTATTTGAATAAATAATTCACGAATAATCATGATAAATTTAATTTTATTTTCACAAACTTGTATTTAAAATCAATCACACATGCTGCTGACTAATATAGCACTAATGAAAAACACGTTCTACTCTTTTGAAACAGAGAGAGAGAGAGAGAGAGAGAGAGTATTTTTCATACTGTACTTATCTTTTGCGCACGCGTCTACAATTTCAAGTTGTATTTATAATTCGCCTCAAAAGCTTCCTCTCTTAAATTTTTTTTTTTTTTTTTTTTTCTTTCTCACACGTCAAGTATATCATTACTATGTAGAACAAATTTTTTCTTTTAGAGAGATAGAAAAAAATATTTCACATTTTTGAAAAACTTTCGAAAAATAAATTCTGTATAAAAAATAGTATTGTATCTCTCGAAATCCGTGTGAACAGAGTAAATTTTATTTGTTTAACTTTGTGTTAAGCCCCGCAGTGTTGTATATTTCGCAACATTTATTTTCCGCGTTTTCATTGATAAGGATTTATTTACATCAAGTGAATTCATTGTAGATAATGCGCACTTTAAAAAAAAAACTCCACATCGTAAAATTGAACCATTACTATTAATAACTCTATTGAAAAATTTTAAAAATAAAATTTGTCAACTAAAATTTTGTAAACGTTTAAAAAATTCTGGCTTTTAAAATTTTAATTTAAAAAATTAAAATTAAATTTTTGATTCAAACTATTAATTAAACTACCATTATGAATTAAATTTAATTCCCAGCAATTAAAATTACAATTAATTTAGAAAACTAAGATTAATATTATCTGAAAATATTATCAGTTGAAAATTAATTAAGAAATAATATTTTTTTCAAATTATTTTTTTTACAATTAAAATTATTTCAAACTAAAAATTTAAAAAAAATTAAATTAATTAAAAAGTACATTTATTTATTTATAAAAATAGCATTAATTAAAATTACTATTAATCGAAGCTAATTTGAAAAAAATAAACCCAGTAAAGAAATATTTTCAAATAAATTTGCAATTAAATGAAAAACTACTTTCGACATTATTTACATAACTTTTTATTTTTAATTCAATCATTCGTTTTTTAAAAATTGCGAATTGATAATTTATTAAATATTTAATTAAAAGTCACGTAAAAATGATTAAATTCAATTTCCGCGGAATAGTTTTAAAATATCAAATTTATTATTTTATTTCTATTAAATACAAATTGAGTCATCAATATATTATTTACATTATTTTTCGAAAAAAAATTTCTAAATAGAAATTTTCAAAAAATAAAAATTTTCTCTAAATGAAAAATTCAAAATCACATCCTGAACAACATTGACCCATTTTCCCGACCTTCGCCTACAACGTTGATCGATAAATATGTCTTCCGCATTTAAATTTCTGCGCATGATCATCGCAGATTTCTCACTTTTTAAATAAAATTGCCCCTGAACTTCAATTTCATAAACATTTGATTTCAAATTTTATTTTTATTTCAAAATTTACTTTCTTCAATTTTACAAAAGTTTTGTTTTTGCGCAATTTTTCATTTTCTTATTTACAAGAAAAATTGATAAACAAATAAACCGATAACTATTATGAATATTTCTTTAATTATTTAATTATTAAATTATTATTATTATTTAATTATCCATAATAATTATCTATTTATTATTTATTAGTTTTTATTAGAGTAAAAAAAAATTTTTCTCTTACACTCATGGCATAATTCCAAAAGATCTGTTCCTTAATCCAGGATCAATATTCGTAAAAAAAAAATATTCGATTGAATTTTGAATTTATCCCAGTATAAATTAGAAATAAATTAAAAGTTTTTTAATCTTTCAATTTAAAAAAAAAATGATCTTATCATTAACATCACTATCACTATACTATTTTATTCTCAGCATGCATACAATTTATATACACGTGATTTTTATATTCGATAATCTTTGGATTATCATTTATTTGACACGTTGTCATAAAATAAAGTCAATTTCCAAAATAGAATTTTTTATTATAAATAATAATAATAAAAAAAATTGTTTACTAAATTTTCATATTATAATTGTTAAATGGCAATTTTTTTTTTACATTATTATTTGAAATTAAAAAATTATTCAAAAAAAAAAAAAAAAAAAAAAAGTTTTGTGGTTCAAAGACCTCGATCGATATAATGTGCACATTAATGTATATAATATATATGTATACGAAGATGGTTTCCGCACTGTTAACACGAACGGCTCCGTTTTGAAACTGTGACCGAATGACTAAAAGACAAACTCGACAGCCTCCAGAATCGACAAAACTTTCACTAGGATTCTCTTTCTCACCAAGTGCAACTCTTTTTGACGCGGAAAACTTTTGCTAAAAAAATTCACTTTTTTTTATGGAAGGAACAGAAAAACTCTTTTACAGTTTCAAAAGTATAAAGTTCAAACTTTTCTTTATGAAAATTTATCTGATTTTGATAAAAAAAAAATTTTTTTTTTTTTTTTTGATAACTTATTTTATTTATAATATTAATTTAATTTAAATTAATTAACTGAATATCAACTAAATATTAACTAAATAATTATTTAATTATAATTTATTAATTTATTATATAATATAATAATAAAATAATTTATAATTAAAAATTATTTTGTATTTTTGTATTTGATACTAATTGCTTCTTCATGTAACTTTTTTTTTTTTTTTTTAATAATTTAAATTATTAGCCTTAATTTTAGTATTACAATTATTTCTATTCGCGACTTTGCTAATAAGTAGGCAATGACAATTATTATAGTCGAGTGAGCAGGAAACTCGAGTGAAAAACGAAATTCGAAACCCAACAATCTAAACCCAGCAGTAAGAACGTGCCATGTATGTTAAACATTCTATTCCAATTGTCTTATGCTCCTATTAAATAAGAGTTTTTTTTTAATTACTTCTTTAAATATTTTATCTAATTATTACTTTATTTTAATTTAATTATTAAAAAACCGATTTAAAAATTATAATTTCTTTCATTTTTTATTATTTATTAATTACCTTCGTTTCATTTATTTTTAATTTAATTTTTTTCTTTATTTAAACTTTCCTTATTGAAGAAACAAAAAAAAAATTTTTCTAAACAAAAAGAAAATATTTCAGAAATGAAGGTTCGCGTTTCCTGATGTTTGTCTGTCAATATTTCAGAAATATTAAACAATTGGAATATGAATGATTCATGGCGAGAAATGAATTTTAACGGAAGTTGATCCGTTGGTTTCTCAGTTTGAAAACTAACGATATGAATTTATCGTTCCAAACTGTAATTGCTCTGATGGATCGTCCGTCGCTTGTGTCGATAAAGCTGTCGATTCGCAACGCTCCACAGAAAAGCAAAACGAACTTTTGAGTAGAAAATTGAAAATTTTTGTTAAAACAAAAAAAAGAGAAAGAAAGAAATTCCACCTTTTTTCACAATCCGACATAAAAAAAAATAAAAATTCCACATTTCAATATTGGCAAGTTATGAATTTTTTTAACGAATACAATATAGGTGGCAAAAAAATTCCTTTATTGGCGGTTTTACATATAGGAGCGCGATAATAAATATAAAATTAAAAATATAAAATTTAAAACAAATTTTAAAGTGAAATTAAAAATGGAAAATAAATTATAATTTAAATAACAAAAAATATATATAAAAGTGTAAAACATTTCATCAAAGAGATTTCTTTTTGATAAAAAACTTCTCTTTGAATAGAATATCGAGACTAATATTTACCAGTAAAAGGAGTTTTTAAAAAGATTTTGATTGGAAGAAACGAGTTGAAATAGAAAAAAAAATGTTATTGAATTCTATCGAGTCAAAATGAATTTTCCATAATAAGTATAGGATAAATATTTAAGAAATATAAAAATACTTACAAGATTTTCTGTCACATTTTTTGAACCAGAATCATAAAACAAAAGGATTAATCCTATAAAATTCGAATAAAATTATCAAGTGAAATAATATTTTAAAAATTAATAACAATATTATAATATAAGTTTTATATTTTTGTTTTTTTGATTATTATTAATAAAAATAATTAATAACATTATTAATAAATAATAATCATAAATTAGTTTTTTAAGTTAGTGGGAAAAAAATAGTAAAACTTTTTAATAAGTACAGAATGGAAAAAATAAATCTAATCTAACCATAAATTAATAAAAATTTCATTATTAACATATTTGTTTATATTTTGTTACCTATGAATTTATTTTTAACCGATGTTGCCAGTCGAATATACATTGCACAATGGAAAACTAGTTTAAAAAATAATCTTCGAAATACATAGAACTTGAAATCATAAAAAAATTTTCAACGATAATGAAATATATTGTACCAACAATATTGCGTTTAATATACTTGACTCTCCTAATCAACATTTTATTACCCTATCACCGGCAAATATTTTTCATGATATTTCAAAATTTTGTAAATTACATAATATAATTACGTAATTTATTAAAAATTTTTTATATATTTTTAAATTATTAATAAATATCTAAAATTTTCTTTAAAAATTGTAAAAAAAATTGAAAACTATATTTAGCTGAACATTAGTTATAATTAAAAATAGAGAGGTCTGCTAATAATAAATGACAAATCTGAAAATGACGGATTTCAAATTTTCATAAATTTCAATCTTCAGCTGTGGGATTATTTAATTGAGTTATATTAGTATAGTATTTTTACAGCTCATTATATCAAGGGACGATATAATTATGAAATATATCTAACCACTAATTTCAAAATTATTCACCAAAATTTAACTCAATTTACTCTATAAATCTTTGGGAAATAATAAATTTTCAATTTAATTGCATTCCACCGCACGTGTATTCCATAATATCTTTATGTAATAAAACACCAAAAATAACGTTTAATTCAATAATTTGATGAAAAGGATATTAAAAAAAAAAAATCTTTTTTTTCATCCAGCTTGTAATTAAAAATTCACCTGAAAAGCAAGTCCCTTGTTAGTGAACCGTGATTAAATTAGAATTGTGATCGATTCTCAATTGACAAACAAATGCAAACATACACACATCGAATCAGCAATTCAAAGTTCCATTTGCACGCGTTTAATCACGCCCTACGAATCGTTAACAATTAAAAGAAATCAGTTTCACAATACATATAATGGAGTTTTCTCTCTCTCAAATAAATACGAAATTATACTTCATTTTTTTTTTTTTTTTTGTCACGTGAACAAAAATTTATGGAAACAATATAAATGCAACTACAAAATAAAAAAAAAGAAAAATTTTTTTTTTTAACTAACTCGAGAAAATAAACTTGGAATATTCATGATTCTTTATACGTTAAATTCAACGCTCAATAAAATTACGATTCTATTTCGATATTTAACGAATCCGTTGTATATAT